CTGAGTTCTCCAGCTGGGAAGCAGAGGTGATGCGAACACCAATGACACTTCCTCTGGGATGTGCCTCTTTAGATCAGAAGCCCTTTGGACTCTCTCATTAAGTGTACGCACAAGGGCGAGCACAATAGGGCCCTCATCTTGGCTATGGCTTCTAGGCACGACAGTAATATTCAGGGCCGTCCCTAGGCATATGCAGAATACGCACCTGTGGCCCAAATTGCCCCAAATTTCATGGTGCCCTAGGCAGCTGCATGCTGCATACATGGCAGCACGAGCTCCGGTGGCCAGCCCTATCCCCCGGCCACCCCCCACAGGCTGCACGCACTGCAAGGGGCTGGGCCATTCCTAGGGACAACTCCCTCTGCCCCACCTCTTAGTCTTCGCCCCTGGCCCGCTCCCATTCCACCTCTTTCCCCCAAGCCTCTTCCCCCAGTGATGGACGCAGCCTGGAGGATTACCAGGGGGCCTGCGCCAGCAGCAGGGGTCGGGCCCGACCCCGCACTCACAGGCAGCGGTGGGAAGCGAAGCAACCCGACCCCAACCCGCTCCACTCTGCCAGCCCCCAACTGTGTCCCTCCGCTACCCGCTGCAAATGAGTGCGGAGGGGCAGTCCTTTCCCCAACACCCCCAACCCGAGCAACACGGCTGGGATGGGGGGAGCGGAGCAGGCTGGGGCTGGGTCGTTCTGCTGCCGGCGCCGGGCCCCCGCTAATCCCCTGGGCCGCTCTGGGCCTGTGGTGCCCCCCAAAGCGGCCCCCCCACAGATCCTGCCTCCCCGGCCCTGCAGGCCTTGAGTGCAGCCCAGACCCTCCGTGGGGGGTGCAGATGGTGCTCGGGCTGTGTAGCGCACCATAATTGGTAGGGACAGCCCTGGTAATATTAGTTATTAATCACCATCATCATCCCTGCCCAGCAAGGGCGTTGTGGAGATTAACCAGTTAACATGGGTTCTGCGCTTTAAACGTGGGTGAGGAGCGCTCAGAATTAAGGAACGACTTTCCGAGGGGAGAACACAGTAGGGGCTCCCCCTCCGCCACAGCACACAAGCGGATCTTTTTCTGTTTGGAGAAAGGAGGCTCAATAATGTACCTACAGCCCTCCGCAGAAAGAGACTGACGAAAGGGGAGCGAGGTGAGAGACTACACAGCCCATTTCCCCCCCCCCCTCCCCCGTTACAATTTAGTGTGAGAACAGTGTGTTTCCATTACAAAGGAACCATCATCTTGGAATAATAATTTCTCCATGACCAGAGGCCCGTGGCTGGCATTTAGCCAAGGAAAGGTTTCTTTCGCTCTGCCCGCATGCTCAGCCAACCATAGATCAAAACCTAAATGACACTTAATCTCCTCAGGAAGAGCGTCTGCAGGGATCTCTGGTGTTTAGCAGTCGCAGGCAGCGCCATAAACTCCTGCTAAGCGCCGAAGCTGCGCCCGGGGACTGTGAGAGGATTTCCAAGCCATGAATATTGGAGGGAATGCAGCCTCTTCTCTTTCAGCATGCGGCTAACGCAATGCTGCAGTCAGCAACGTGCTCGCTGAGCAATAGATTTTACACTAACTAAATCCACAGAGCTCCCGATAAAGTGCCCAGTTAGGGACAGATCGTGGTTGCCAGCAACTGGCCACGTCAGACTGGAAAAGCAGAGGGTGCTGCAGGGCAGGGCTGAGCTCTATGTGCAGGAAGCCCAGATCTGGGATAGCTGGGTGGGGGTTGTAGGTCAAGACTGGAGGGCATGGTTGGAATTGCATGGGGAGCGGGGGAGCTCCAGAGGTTCTGCAGATGAGCGTTGGGCTGCGTGTTGGTGGGACGGGGCTGGGGCACAGTGTGGTGGGTGTTCCCAGCTGACTCACCCAGAATTCCCCTGGAGGCTGTAGGGGAGCAAAGGCTAGAGCATGAGCTCTGCCACTCATTTAAGGGGTTGCTGATGCCCTCCATGTGTAACACACTGGCACTGTGGGTGCCATGTCCATCTCTAGGGTTGGTCCATATAACAACCTACTACTGCAACCAGCTTACTGAGTTACTTCTGTAGCTCACAAAGCAGAGGGGCCATGCTTTTATTGTGAATGGTACTGGGTTCAAATCCTGCTCCCACCCAGAGGGTGATCACACTTGCATTCAGGGAGAGTAAGGGCTAGGATTGTGGCTGACTCCATTGAAAAGGGGTCAGGATCACGGGCCAACTCTTGCACTCCAGGTTTGGGCCAGCCACAAGGTCAAGTTCACTAGGGAAGAGTGTGTAGGGAGTTACTTCCTTCTGGTGTGTCTTTGCAGCAGGAGGGTACCCAGATACCAGACCTGCACCACATGACGGGGCCTGGCCGCCAGTCAGTCCCTAGGCTGTGGTGCACATCACTAATCAGAAAAGGCAGGAGACCCATTGTTACTTTGAAGCAGGAAGGGCAAGATGCTACCACGTACTGTGCCTTTCATTCCACTCCTACTACCCTGGACCACCTGGTTCTCAGGTGCCAGGACAAATCATGCAGCATAACATACACAGCAGACCCTGCCTAAGCCTCTGGTGCCTACCTGTCCATAAAACTCAATTTTCATGGTCCAGCTCATGACTGACCACAACACCTCCCAAGGCTGTGATGACCCCCTTCCTGGGCAGTCATCAGAACCGAACACCGATCACACCTCTTCTCCACTTCAAGTAGGTCTGGTTTGCAGCATGCCCCTGTGGTGGACAGACTCCGCAGCACTCCAACCAACTGGGGAAGCGAATTCCAAAGTCAAGAACACTTGGCCAAGACCAGACTGGGGCTATGCCCGTAGATCTTTATGAATGCTGGGAGCTTCATAGATTCCACAGTTCAGAACCTTGAAGACCTTGGAACCCTTTAGAATATTCAGGGTTCTAGATTTTGACTCATGCAGGAATGCGGCCTTTTAGACCTTCTGAGGGTGGGATCCCATCATTTAAAGGGCAAAAGGAAAAAAATTAATTTAATTCATGTTCTGAACATTCTCAATGTTTCATGAGGGACCCAGGACCTCATCCCTAGTGCCTTTATGAAAATAGCTAATTGCATTTGTTTCTACATGTTTAATATGCATTGAAACATTCTGCAAACAGGAAGGAGCGTCTTAGTGGTTAGTGCAGAATACGGTGAGAAGGCAAAACTCTTGAGCTCTATTCCAGGACCTGCTAGCCATTGGCTGTATTGATTTTGTATAAACTGCTTAATCTCTTGGGCCAGATTTTCAGAAGAGCTCAGCTCCCATTTAGGCATCTAAATAAATACCCAGATTTTAGACATCCTGAACAGTGGCTTGAAATAAGCAGCTAAATTATTCCGGCATCTCAATAAGCAGACAGATAGTCAAAAGACATCAGCATGTCAGGTGCACATTGAGTGCTGAGCACTTCTGAAAAGCTAGCTGTAAGTGTCACAGTAGGAGCTGCTATACACAGGGAAAACCTGGCCCAGAGCTCTTCTGGAAATGTGTCCCTGAATGCCTCCATTTACCTGCTCTAAAATGGTTCTAATACTCATGTTGTTCTGGGCTCCATTATATAAAGTTTGTAAAGTCTTTGGGGAAGCTGAGGGGAAAAAAGCTACAATTCAAAGAAATATTATTAATCATGATATTTCAGCACGCTAGTTCCCTTAGGTAGCTGAATGGATTTCTGCAAGCAATCTGGTAGAAAACAAAACTGAGTGGAAAGAAAGAAAGAAAGAAAGAAAGAAAGAAAGAAAGAAAGAAAGAAAAGCAGCCAGCCATATGAAGAAGGTTGCCTAACTGCTTCTCTAGCTGCAGAGATAGATGAAATTGGTTTAATTTGAAACGAGGCCTTGTCTGAAAGACTTTTCATGCCTTATTACCTCATCTTCCTTTGAATTCTCAAAGCAATAGGTTTTCTCTCCAATCTAGCTACAGAAATGATTACTACCTCCTTGTTCAGCTAATGGGATTAGAACCTCGGCAGGGTCTGAACTTTATTCTACTCTTTTCCTAATTAGAGCCCCAATTCAGCCAAGTACCTAAGCATGGGTGTAATTTTAAGGAAACCACTTAAGCACGTGTTTAAGGCTATGGGCTAGTCTACGCCGGCTGCCGTAGCAGTGCTTTAATGTGGCTTGTGTAGTCGCGGTGCAGTGCTGGGAGAGAGCTCGTCCAGCGCTCTAAAAACACCACCTCCACGAGCAGCTCCCAGCGCTGGTGCACTGTCTAAACGGGCGCTTTACAGCGCTGAAACCTGCTGCACCCAGGGGGGTGTTTTTTCACAGTCTACATTCCAAAGATAAATCGACCTATGTTACCTCTTGTCTACACTGGCCATTCACAGCGCTGCGACTTTCTCGCATTAATTACTGAGGTGGCTCATGTCCACGCTACCGTCTGTCTGTCAGTGGTACGCATCCTCACCAGGAGTGGTTCCACGCCTGAAGTGTGGAGGACTGAGAGCCAGGGATCTCAGCTCCACGCAGAACCCCAGGCCTGCTGGGGTTTCTTGCCTCCGGCTGGGAGATCTACACCCGGAGTTCAGTCGGCTGCCCTGCTCCTGGCAGGGGGCAGTAGGGTTTGCAGCAGCCTGGGTGGCAGCCTGGCTTGGAGTGGAGGCCGGACAGCAGCCTGGCTTGTGAGCCAGCTTTCTTGTCAATTTCACAGCTCCAGCTGTGGTGGGTGGGAGGCATGGGGGGGGAGAAAGGGGAGCAGGAGCTGTAAGAGGCGGAGCGAGGGTGGGGCATGCTCAGGGGAGGGGGCGGAGTGGGGGCAGGAAGAGGCGGAGCAAGGGTGGGGCCTTGAGGCAAGGGGCGGAGTGGAGGCAGGACCTTGGGGCAGAGTTGGGGGTGGAGCAGCCATCTGGAAAGAAGAAAGTTGGTACCTGTGCTCAACGGTATTTAGGGGTCTTAATCCCATTGGTTTCAATACCTAAATACCTTTGAGGGTCTGGGCCTTAGTTAGTCTCCACCCAGCACCCATCTCCCCTTGACACTGAATAAAACTCTGATGCACTTTAACATCTGTCCTTCACGTTGTGCCCTCAGATACACCAAGATGAAAACGGCCACCAACATTTACATCTTCAACCTGGCCCTTGCAGACGCCCTGGCGACGAGCACGCTGCCCTTCCAGAGTGCCAAATACCTGATGGAGACCTGGCCCTTCGGGGAGCTGCTCTGCAAGGTGGTCCTCTCCATCGACTACTACAACATGTTCACCAGCATCTTCACACTGACCATGATGAGCGTGGATCGCTACATTGCCGTGTGCCACCCGGTCAAGGCTCTGGACTTCCGCACCCCAGCCAAAGCCAAGATCATCAACGTCTGCATCTGGGTCCTCTCCTCTGTGATTGGCGTGCCCATCATGATCTTGGCTGTGACCAAGTCAAAAGGCAAGTGAACATGGCCCTTTCTGGCCCTGCGATCCATTGACTGGAGCGTATGCCAGCGCCAATCAACCCTCCTGTAACAGGAGGACTGACACCGAGGTGAAAGTAAGCCGGTACGGCATACCGGCAAGAGCCAGTATGCCTTGCTGGACCGGACCGGGTTCCCCAGGCTGGCGCTTTAAAGGGCCCCAGGGCTCCCCGCAGTGGCCGAAGCCCCAGGCTTTTTAAAACGCTGCTGGAGCCCTGCCACTGCTACCCCAGGGGCTCCGGCAGCGGGGCTTGGAGGGCGCTTTAAAGGGCCCGGGGCTCCCAGCCGCCTCTGCAGCTGGTAGCTCTGGGGGTGATTTAAAGGCCCCGGGGCTCCCAGCCGCAGCCAGAGCCCTGGGACCTTTAAATTTTGATTTAAAGGGCCTGGCCACACCTCTTCTGGTTGAGGCCATGCTCCGCTGCTCAGGACTCCTGAGTACCAGTAAGCCCTTTAAGTTACTTTCACCCCTGACTGAGTCTCAGGCCTCATCTACACTTGTGGCAGCTCTGCACCCCAGTGAGAAAGAGGCTGCGGGGTGTAGCTATAATGCAGCAGTAGAAGGCTCTGGCCGGGGAGAGGCAGTGGCGAAAGACTCCAGCAACCCGGAGCTCCCAGAGCCTTTTCCCTGTGGTGGGGAAAGACGCCGGCTGCAGGGAGGCAATCGGACACTATACTCCATAAGTAAAACTGTTTCCCCTTGTTTATTTCCCCTCCTACTGTTCTTGTCAACTGCTGGAAATGGCCCACCTTGATTATCACTACAAAAGGACGCCCCCCCCCCCCGGCTCTTCTCCTGGTAATAGCTCACCTTTCCTGATCACTCTGGTTACAGTGTGTATGGTAACACCCATTGTTTCATGTTCTCTGCGTATATAAAATCTCCCCACTGAATGCATTTTCCACTGAATGCATCCGATGAAGTGAGCTGTAGCTCACGAAAGCTCATGTTCTAATAAATTGGTTAGTCTCCAAGGTGCCACAAGTCCTCCCGTTCTTTTTAGTGCTGAAAAGAGCAGTGTAGCTGGAAGAGGTGCTGCGTGGGCGTGTAGCAAGCCATTCGGGGTACGCACCCTAAGGCTCTGGCATGTCTGTACTCTACTCCCCTAACCAGGGTCTCCCTGTTCACGCTGCTGTCTATACCGTGTTAGCTGGGGATACGTGTAAGACATGCAGGTAGATGCAGCTTCAGAGAGCTGCAGGCTAGAGGGGAGGGATGGTGCAGTTAAGGCTTTGGGCTAGGACAAAGAAGTGCTGGCTTCCATTCTTGGCTTTGCCCCAGACTCCCCCCCCGTACAGATCACTGAATGCCTCAGTTCCCCCCAAAACCATCCCACCTCCCTTACATGGCTGTTTTAATGCCCTCGATCTCCCAGTGGTTCCTCTCCTGCCCTGTCTCTTAGCAAAGGTGATTAGTTCTGATCTAGAGCAGGCTGGTTGGTAGTGGGATGTCGCCATCAGTGTCCATTTGGCAGCTTCCCTGCAATGAGTCCTTGGCCCCATTTTCAGAACACAGGCATCTGCATCACAGGGATCGGTGTTACAACTGGCAGTCTCAGAAACCTCCGCAACTGAATGGGGCCTGGAGGCCTTTCAGAGTAGCTGACTCTAAGAACGGATTTGTGATCAGAGGAAGGGCTTTATCATTACACATCCGTAGAGGCTTCTGTTTAAGAATCTCAAGGCATTTATCATTTGAACAGCAGCAAGGCCCAGAAGCCCTAACTCAGTATAAAGGTCCCACTGTGCAAGGTGCTGTACACACATCAAACGAAAAGGTGACCCCTGCCCCCAAGAGCCCGCACTCTATGTATGCTTTACAAACATTAATTAGCCCTTACAGTGTAGCATGAGACAGGTAAATAGTGTTAGACTGATTTTACGGATGAGGAAACTGAGGCACTGATAGGTGAAATGTAGCACTCCAAAACTCAGACCAGACCCACCCTGAAGTTTGGAGCAGGGGTTTGGATCTGGGTCTTTGGTTCTGTACCCAGATCTCATTAAAAAACTTGCCCCCGGCCATTAAATGTGTCAGTGGCAAGAGTTTTGGAAAGCCCCAGTTGTAATTGCAAACAACAATCCTTTGTTAGTTTTCAGGAAGGTTACAGATCAAGTAAAAGAAAAGGAGTACTTGTGGCACCTTAGAGACTAACCAATTTAGTACAGATCAAGTACATTCTCATCTTAACACTAACAAACTTTTGAGCTAGGTAATTTCAGGGATATACATGAAGTAATCCACAGGTTATCGATAAGTGAAGACAATACTATTAACAGTTCCTTTGAACTAAACTAACACACAAGTGAACTGGCCTGATTACATTACAATACCTTTTGACACTCCTTGGATTTCTATTAGCATATGAGTGAATTAGCCTGCAGCCCTGTCCTGAGCTGACACCTGGGTAGACAGCATCACACCAAGTCACCAGCACTAACCACTAGGCAACTCTCCATCTCATCCAGTCGGAGAACACTTCACTCTCTTTGATCACTTGATCACAGACCTAAAAGTGGCAATTCTTCAACAAAAAAACTTCAAAAACAGACTCCAACAAGAGACTGCTGAATGCATCTGATGAAGTGAGCTGTAGCTCACGAAAGCTTATGCTCAAATAAATTTGTTAGTCTCTAAGGTGCCACAAGTCCTCCTTTTCTTTTTGTAAATACAGACTAACATGGCTGCTACTCTGAAACCTGCTGAACTGGAATTAATTTGCAAACTGGATACAATTAACTTAGGCTTGAATAAAGACTGGGAGTGGATGTGTCATTACACAAAGTAAAACTATTTCCCCATGTTTATTTCTTCCCCCCCCCCCCCCCCACACACACACACTGTTCCTCACACATTCTTGTCAACTGCTGGAAATGGCCCACCTTGATTATCACTACAAAAGGTTATTCCCCCCCCCCGACCCCCCCTGTTCTCCTGCTGGTAATAGCTCACCTTACCTGATCACTCTCGTTACAGTGTATATGATAACACCCATTGTTTCATGTTCTCTGCATATATAAATCTCCCCACTGTATTTTCCACTGCATGCATCCGATGAAGTGAGCTGTAGCTCACAAAAGCTTATGCTCAAATAAATTTGTTAGTCTCTAAGGTGCCACAAGTACTCCTTTTCTCCATCTCTGAAGCACTCTGTTTAGCCAGCATTAAATCAAACCAAGAGCAAATGTTAGGAATTTAGCTGGATCTGTTTGGAAACTGACAGATGCCAAGGTTGGAAGCTGCACGCACACAGACAGAGCTGTCTGCTGAAAAAGGGTGCCCGGTGGGCTGCATGGAGGATTGTGGGGGTGGCAACTCTGAGACAGTCTAATCATTTGAATACAATGGGAGACAGCATGCAAATAAGGCCTATTGTATGCAAAAGTAGGCTCCTACTCTGGTGCAAATTAGGTCTGTTGAATTCAACTGCAGTTCCAATTATCCTGCAGATGTGATCCCCCTTGGTGTTAAACTGTTAGGAGTATTTAATCATGTTGATGTAGAAATACGGGAATACATTAGGAGTTCCTTGCCTATGCCGTTTTAATAAGCAGAGGGGGCTGTAAATGCACACCTGGGGCAGCTGATTACGGGGGTATTCCTCTGGCTCTGGCTCTCTCTCCCACCTATCCACCACTCTCCCTTACCCTCTCTCCCCTGCAGATGGGATCGTGCTCTGCATGCTCCAATTCCCTGATCCCGCCATGTACTGGGACACGGTGACCAAGATCTGTGTGTTCATCTTCGCCTTCATGGTGCCCATCCTGGTCATCACCATCTGCTACGGGCTCATGATCCTACGCCTCAAGAGCGTCCGCCTTCTCTCGGGCTCCAAGGAGAAGGACCGCAATCTGCGTCGCATCACCCGCATGGTGCTGGTCGTGGTAGCGGCCTTCATCATCTGCTGGACGCCCATCCACATCTTCGTCATCGTCTGGACGCTGGTGGACATAGATAAGAAGAACCCCTACGTGGTGGCCAGCTTGCACTTCTGCATTGCCCTGGGTTACACCAACAGCAGCCTCAACCCTGTCCTCTATGCCTTCCTGGATGAGAACTTCAAGAGGTGCTTCCGGGAGTTCTGCCTGCCCTTCCGGTCCCGGATCGAGCAAAACAGCTTCTCCCGAGCGAGAAACACCACCCGGGAGCGCGTCTCCACCTGCACCCCTTCCGAAGCCCTCAATAAGCCAGCATGACTAGACATGGACAGCCATCAGCGGGGCTCCCGTGGCCGCAGAAGGGAGGAACTGTTCTCGGAGGTGACTCAGGTCACCACCACAGAATTCTAGTGGAGGTGGCTGGAGGCGAGTGGGCGGGAGTGGATTGGCTCATCAAGGACTCTTTAAAAAAAAAAAATTTGCAAATGCTTGATTTTCCATGAAGACACCAGGGTGATGGGGAATTGGGCAGGGAGCGGGAGGATCACAAAGCAACAGATTCCTGGCTGAACATTTCTAAGAACTGTAGAAAAACAGACCGTGGCATCGGATGGGCAATGAGGAGGATCCACAGGCTGCAAACACGTCGTCAGACGAGCACCAAACCTGCACCACAAGGCAGCCTGGAGATGGACAGGCCCCGCCATCAAGATGGGGGAACCTGCCGCTGCTTTCATGGGGGTGGGGCCGCTTCTTTAACTCTCAGCGGATGTAAAAGCCCAGGTGCCCTTCAAACGCCGGTTGGCGCGATGCAAATTGCAAAGATGCGACCCTGTGAAGTCGTGTGCCATTCAAACGTCGGGTTTTGTTCCCCCGATGCCAGCAGGTGGCGCCGGTGGCGAGAAACCGCAGCTCGCGGTGGGCAAGCTGCTGTGCCAAAGCACACCCCATGCTCTGGGACCCGCGCAAGGTAGAACTGGGGTTCGCCAACAGCCCACGGACTCTGGGGAGGAGCCCTGTGCTTTCGTTGTGCCCGTTCTGACCTTGCACATGGCAGGCCCCGGCGCATCCTGCTGACCCTTTGCTGCTGCGCTCCGGGACGGCTGCTCAGGACGCCCCCCCCCGGTAGGAGAGCAGAGCACTCACTGACTGCCATGTCTTGTACATATGTACATTCCAACAGCCCACCTGTCCAGGGCGGCCTGGGACGTTCCTGACGGAGGCGTGTGGCTACTTGTCTCGTGTGCCCGCTTCCTTCCTTTCGCCGCATCGTTATTGCTCTGTACAGCCTTATGCGGTGCAAAGCGGGATCTGTAGGAGTCAGCCAACTCCCCTGCTTACCCCGGGCCACGGAGCTCGGAGCGTCATGGACACTCGTGGCAGGAGTGCCAGGATCTGCCCGGCGAGAATGCACTCCCGCCGCCCCCCGCAGAGAGGCACCGCGTCGTGCGTTCAGTGTCACAGTAGGAACTGGGATTGTTGCTGTACACCAGCAGCAGGAGGGTGACTGCGCTGGGAGAGGGGACTCCCTCTGCCTGTCTCTGGGGGAGGCTAAACACTGAGGTTAAAGATCCTTTCAAGACGTTTCTAAAAAGAGATCTGGGATCCCTGCCATACCTCCCTCTCTCTCACTTAGGGCCTCTGCCAAACCCCAGTCAAGTCAATGCGAGTCTTTCCCCGGACTTCAGTGGGGTTTGGATCAGCCCTTAAAGTGGGCTGGAGGGGCCCACACTGTGGGAGAGTCATTGCTAGGCACACAGTGGCTCTCGCATTTGCCCGCCGCAGCCAGTCTCAGGGCCCAACTCTCCAACCCGGGCCCAGAAGCTAGGGCTCCCACTTGCACAGTGCTCAAGTGGGCATTCATGGGCCCTGGTACCATCCCAGGTGACGACATGCTGATTGGCGCATCCACATGCAGAACTAGGGGTCTCATAGTAGTTTGCAAATCGGGTTTCTGATATCTTTGCAAAGCACATTGAGATACTCTGAGCATGACAGGCACCAGCTTAAACCCAGCTCCTTTCTATGCTCTCTGTGTGCATATGCACGTTGGAATACCAGACACGGGCTCTGTTGTTATTTTTTTTATTTCAGTGACATCTAAATGCCTTATCTACGTCATGGCCCCCATGTGTTTGGTGCTGTACATTGTGCTCAAGCCACGGAATTAGAACCCAGGGCCAAATCTCAAACATGCTAGCAATCGGACACGGGATTTTCGTTCTCCCTGTTCTAAGATTATCTGCATGATTCCAGGTGGGAGCCGTGTTTGGAGTTCATACAGCTGGACAGCGTGTTGGGATGTGAACTTCTGGGCCAGGCTCAGGTCTGGTTAACACATAAACCTGCAGAACTGGTCAGCCTGGTGGGAAATGGGCTGTGATGATTTGATGGGGAGGAAAAGTGCAGGCACGTAGCAATGAGCAGAGCTGATCCAGGCCAGAGGCAGGCCACGGGCTGCACCAACACCGCAGGCTGGATTCGGCTTGCGGCTACACTGGTATAAATCCAACAAAGTCAACAGAGTTGTACCGGACTCACACTGGAGTGAGACAGTCTTGGGGATCTGTATCCTCTGTCCACAAAACAGGTCACACTGCAAGCTCCCTGCCTGCCAATGTGCCTTGACTCTCATCGGGGGGGCACTCTCCTTTCAGGGTGAAAGGAGCTCTGCCTCCTTAGCCCATTCAATGCCAAGGCATTGCTGCTGGTAGGGCTCCCAAGGAGACCCGTCAGTGCCAGTAGAAGCGGTGGGTTTTGTGATGTGTCCACCTGCCTGCTGGGAGCTGGGCGGACCTGATCCCACGCATTTCACACCAGCCTGGGGACACTTATTAGAGAGAAGCTACTTGTGGTCATTAGCTGGTTGGGCTGGATTGCAACCTACAGGTGAAAGGCTCTTCATCATAAAAACAGACACACATACGTGTGCGTGTGTCTGTGTGTGTGTGTGAGAGAGAGAGAGACTTACGTATACATGTGTGTTGCTTAGTAGACGTTGGCCTTTTACTACAAATCAAGAATAGTTCTAGCAACCTTGGGCTGACGCACAACACGGAGGGCTGTCCACTGCAGCTGGTCCTATTACTGTTATGACCACAGCACCTACCTGCCCTGGCTGAGCTCAGGGCTCCATTGTGCGAGGTGCTGCACGCACCCCCAGGAAGAGATCGGCCAACTCCAAAGACCTCACTGTCTAAACAAACAAGACTGACGAACAAGGCGCTATTTTCCCGGTTTCACTAATGACATGCAGGGAGTCCGCAGTAAGAAATGAGCCCCGATCAGCTGAGCCTTACTGTCCATCCTCCGTAGCGCTGGTCCCACTTTCTCTCTCACTGTCCATTCGAGAAGGCTGCACGACGCCTGCAATGAACCATTCCGTCCAGTGGGAAGATGCCAGTTCAGCAGTGCATCTGGAGCTGAGCTTTGCGGTTCAGGCAGGTCTCCACTATGGCTGTAAAATCTGAGTGGCATGTCCAATACATTATGCACCATAGGCTTATTCTCCCCCAAGGGACAAGAGCTACACATTCTTTCTATAGATCAGCATGTAAAGGTTAATGAAGCAGCCCAAGACAACTTTCCTAAGCTGCATAATTCTTAATTTAGTTTCATAATAAGAGAGACTTGACAGTAATAATACTCTGTGCTTCTAGATAAGAACCTTGGCAGTATTTGCAAACAGGAATGAATTACCCCTGCTGGGAGAGAGGCGCATGATCCCTTTTCAACTGTTTGGGGAAACTGAGGCACAAAGAGGCAGAATGATTTGCTTACGGTCACGCAGGAAGTCTGTGACACAGCTGGGAGGCCAACCCAGGCCTCATGATGCCTTGGCATGTGCTTTAACCACCGAACCCTCCTATCTCTCTTCCCAGACTTATAAAATAGAAATGAAATGTATTCCTACACACACACAAGTATACATGTATACATGTATATGTATATGAACAACTCAGATTCCCTACCACTAGGAAACATTTAGCTTACAGACCAAGGCAACTATGCAAAGATTAAATCCTTTCATCTTTGCTCTTTATCTTTGCACAGATTGACCCCATGCACAGGCTCAGACCCAATAACTAGACAAGCACTCGGGATCCCACCTGAGCGCCCTATTATTATGTATAATGACCAGATGACAAGCCGCAAGCCCTGACTGAGTAACGTGATCCATCTCCTTCCACAATCCAGTCCGATCCAGCCACCCGGCTGGAGCCTTGAAACTCAATTGGTTAAAGATCAGACACGGGATGCCAAGAGTGAAAAGTACCAGCTCAGCCAAGAGCAGATGGAGCCAAGACAGAAGAGATGCAGCAGTGGAAGTATCCTCCTGAGGCCTGAGTCTCCACTGCCATGCATCCCAGGCCAGTATTTATGCTCCGGCAAATGGAGAGTAAAATGCTACCAGCAGCCTCTTACACCCATGTGGCCAGGTGCAGGTCAATGGAGAATCAGTCCTCTAGTGGCCGTTAACTGCAGCACGATCTCATTGCAGAAACAATTAATGGGGCCTTCATGTTTCCCTGTTAGAGTTAAACCAGTTGGTATGGATTAGCACTGCCACAAGCCCTGGAGACAAGAAGAAGACTGGCCGCTGGCCAGTTTGTTTCCATTGCTCCCCGCTGCCCCCGCGACTCAAAGAATCTGTGTAGTGCATAGGAATTGGGTTGTATCCCTTTAAATACTTTGTGAGCCTTCTAGTGGTGCTCACTAAGTTTCAGAAGGCATCTGACCCCTGCCAGAGCAGAAGTGCGTATATGTAGCTGGGCCTTGCTGCATGTTGTATATCGTTAGTGAACGTGGGTATTCAGACCCCACTGGGCCTGTGTGGTTCCTTCACATTACACGTTGGAAACAGCCACGTCAGGGAGCTCCTAGACTGAGCCATTTTGGAAAGAGGACCCAAAAATATTCAGGTTTCAGAGGAACAGCCGTGTTAGTCTGTATTCGCAAAAAGACAAGGAGTACTTGTGGCACCTTAGAGACTAACCAATTTATTTGAGCATGAGCTTTCGTGAGCTACAGCTCAGCTCATGCTCAAAAATATTCAGGAATTTTAGGAAAATGTGAAGGGCAGGTGACAGTTCAAAAACCACCATGTATTCAAAATACCATTTTTTGAACTGTACCAAACTTCCCAGAAAAACTCTACCCCATGATGAGATGGGACATGCAACATTTCAGGATAATTGATTTTCTTGTTGGCCACTGGGATAACAACCTGCTATTGCTGCCAGCTTATGTAGCTGCTCCTTTAGCTCAAGTGCTAGGGGTCTGTGTTTTGGTGCTGAAAGACAAGTCTTGATGGCTATTGTTACTCCACACGTAGTGGAGGCCAGAGAATATCTGACAGCAGGCAGGCAAAACCAGCCCAGTAAGGCCCTAGGTCGGTAAAGCACTTAAGTTTGAGCTTAACTTTGAACTCTACTGAAGCCAAAGTTAATGGCATTGCTGACTCAGGGCCTAAATCAGGCTGAGCATCTGTGTACAACAGCAACCACTAGGTAACAACCCTACTGGATGTCTTTCTAAAACACGGGATAGAGCTCAAACAGAAGTAATGGGCCTGATGTAGGAATTAGTGATTGAGGGTCTGTGGCCTGTGTTATACAGGAAGTCAAACTTAATGATTGTGGGTGGTCTCTTCTGATCTCAAAAGCTAGGAATACTGTATTGACTCAAACCATGCGAGGTAAACCCTGTATCCTAAGCAGCCTCCACTGCAGAAGGTCTTTATGGCCGTACTGGTAAAGACAGGCTCTTTTGTTGGAATGAGCATCTGACAAGACTGTAAAAACATTATTTTCCTCCCAAGGACAAAGTGAGAAAAATTGACGTTTAGATCTCAGACACACAGTGTGAACAACCTGTCTTCTCTCCCCAGTACTTGTCTCACTGGAACAAAACCTGCTCTTGCCTATGTCAGTTTCCTTCCTTAGAAGTTTTTAAGGTCAGGCTTGACAGAGCCCTGGCTGGGATGATTTAGTTGGGGATTGGTCCTGCTTTGAGCAGGGGGTTGGACTAGATGACCTCCTGAGGTCCCTTCCAACCCTGATATTCTATGATTCTATGATTAGGTGATTATTAGAGAAGATGGAATGGCTCATTTCTTCCTCATTGTGATGGCTTGCATATACAGAGAACTTACTGAGATTTGTATCTCACTCTGACACCCAGATCTCTTCCCACATAACAGAAATCCTAGCTGGAGAGTAGCTATTTCACCAGACTGGTTGATGGTGGGGGGACAGTAAAGCAGACCCCTCAAAACCCAGGAAAGGCCAAGCGAGAGACTGGAAAGGGAACAGGGATTAGTATGGGTAACACACCGGCCTTCCACCTCTGCAGACCTGGGTTCAAATTTTTCTTGGCAAACGGAAGTAAAACCACGAGCCTGGTGTTCATCTCTTCCTCTCTCTGCGGCTTATTCTCCAACAGGGAAACCACAGCGCAGTTTGCCACAAGTGTCACTCTCTCTTCCCAGGAGATGCGCAGCATTGAGATGCTACGGGGTGCCGTAGGTCAGGGCTAAGATTCACAGTGCAAGAGCTATGGATGGGGAGAACCTTTCATACATCTGCCCAGGTTATGTCTCACTCTGGGCACTGCTATCAGTCCCTTGCTGTTGATGAACACCAAAAAGGCAACCTTCTTTATTGTTTGGTTTAATTGTTTGGTTTTTTTCCAATCAGTCTTTATCACTAAGGGAGGCTGTATTGGCTTTGGCCCGAATCCGATCACTGGCAAATATAAGACTCTTGTAATGAACCAATTTCATTTGATGCTGGTGAAACGCCATCTTGCCCAGGGTAAAGAAACATAAACATCTGTCAGCCATTCACTTTGAACATGGACATGAATAATGTGTTTTCTGAACATTCAGGGGCCTGATCCAAAGCCAATGGAAAACAGGGGGAAGTCTTTCAATTGACTTCAAAAGGCGTGTGATCAGGCCCCATCGGCACTGGCCTATGGAAGTTTTAATTATTACTTTTTACCCCTAATCATTGAAGCAAATGGTCACATGCATAACATCCCTGTTTTAATTGAAAGGGGCATTGCCAATTTTCACAACACACCTAGAAACGTTTTCACTGTTTCTTGAAAATGGATTAAGCGGCTGGTTTTTTTAGTCACATATTCCCGTATAGTGCTGAAAGCCCAAAACACAACAACAGTGGGTTAGTGCAAGAGAAAGAGAAACTGACTATAAACAGAAAGCAAAACTGACCTACCTGAATTCAGAGTGATCAAATAATATTGACAATAACATTAGGATTTGGGGGGTTGTTTATATATATTTCAGTTTTAATTATGTGATGCAGAGTTGCCAACTCTTGCAATTTTACTGCGAGTCTCACAATATGTGGTTTTTTTCTTAAAGCCCCAGCTTCTGGAATCCTGTGATTACATGAGAATCTCAGCTTTTGTTAACAAAACAAACAAACAAACAAAAACCCCCTAAGTTTCCACCCTTCTTAGTTGTGGGGAAAAGCTTGAGAACATGACCCTAACAACTCAAAAACAGAGGGCAAGTTAAAATAACCCCTCCCCCCAAATGAATTTTTAATCCCAGGATTTTTAAGCAAAGCTCATGATTTTGGGGGACCCAAATCATGATTTTTGACCATTGCGGGGGGCAGCTCTCTATGCTGATTGACACCAGGTAAGGACCTTGGTAGTAAGCAAGCCAATGGAGTTGTACTAATTAGCATCACTACCAATAGGACCTGTGATTTTTATTTTGACAGGGTCTCTTGTAAGAAGTAAGCCCTAAGGTCTGATTCTGATTTCATTTACCCTGGGAAAAACCAGCAGGAAGGGCTAAAGACAATGGGGCTGAACCAGTGTGAGAGCAGATGTCGGTCCCACGTCTGTCTGGCCAGCTGCGAACACACATGTAACTATATCAAAGCCAGGCTGAAGGCGGTGGAGAGGGAACAATAGGGTTTTATATCAGCAGAGGCTGTTTGCTATCAGCACCACTTGCTTCATGTGGATTTGCACAGCAGAAATAAACAGTATTTATGGCTGTACAAAAATGTACATATCTCTGTCTATCTTTATGGACGTCAGCTGAAATTAACCCAGCCCTGTCCCAGCTCTGCTGCCAGCCTGTTCTTGTGTGCAGGAGTCAGGGATCCCAAGTGAATTTTCAAGCCTGGGACAGGTGTTGAATCAGTAAGGGTGTAATGAGTGACCTTCGTCCTCTTTCAAGCGCTTGAGCCAGTAGCTCTAGCCCTGGCTTCTGGAAGGGCGGCGTTTTGGTGACGTTTCTGTAAGGGACACACATTTTCCTTTCTATCTTTTTTTGTTTGTTTGAATAAAGTGAGTGCAATTCCAAATCCTCCCTTGACTCCTGGGCTGATTGTCCCCTTTCAGCACTCATTTAAAAAAAGAAGACGGGATATTGGCTGCCATGCAAGAGGAAGGAGAGGAGAACGAGCACATGGTGGGCTCAATACTCAGCACATTTGAAGGGGACGCAGCAATGCTAATCCACTTTTAGACCCAGCCCGTGCATTGGCCGCCGTGCTCCCAGGCTGCCCTCACTTACGGCAGCTCATTTGGTCCCCATTCCACCAGCTGAGCATGAGCTGAGTGCGTCTTCCTCTTGCGCCCCCCCCTCCTGTCTCTACACTAGGACATACCTCCCCAGCCCCAGCCGGCTCCGACCCTCTCGCAGCGCCAAAGGGGGTAGGGAGGCTGATATAAATCTTTACGCCAGACCAGGATTCCCCTGCACACTACAGGAATCCTCAGCCCCCCCTTTCAGGCAGGTCGGTGGTCATGTAGTGAAACCCAGCAGGGTCCAGAATCCGACCCAAAGGTTCAACTGGCTTTGAGTAGCCAGCGCCCGAGCCCCCTTGCCATCCAGCTGCATCAGCCTCACCAAGTCACGTGGAGAGCTTGAGTCCCCGCGAAGCAGACCAGACTCCAGTGCCAAACCGGGGCATAGCCCTAGTGGTGCAGAGCTCCCCACACTGGGTGGATCTGGCCAGTGGGGGGTTCCCCTTGCTTAAGGGAACCCCCCTCGTGGGGTAAGCCCACTAATGCCACCCCTCCACTCCCCATGGCCAGTGGAAACAGGACAGGCCTGGGATGGTCCCGGGCCCTGGCAGCCAGCGTGGCCCTCTGGGGCAGTGAGGGGCTGGTGTAGCACACAATCCCTGTTTGCAAGTACACCCATAACCTCCCAAGATGAATGTCCCGCCACACACAGTGAGATCAGCTGATGGTGGCCCTGCTATCTTTCCACCGGGTGGCTCTTTTAACTGATCCGTGTCTTTCAAATCTCCAGGTTACCAGCCTCTGTCACCAGGACTGGGGTCTCCTCTTCACAGCGATTAACCAGATGATTGTGTTTGAGTGTTTGTTGGGATGCTCCTTATCCAGGCCATTATGGGGCCTTTCTTGCTTAGTATCCTTAATTGCTCCTTTTTGCTCTAACTCCACAGCAAGCCACCCGGCTGTCACATTCTGGGGTGCGATCCAGACCAGTGAGGGCTTGTGTCACCACCTGCCCTGTAATCCCGAGTGCCTTAAATGTTCCAATGCTGTGGGTCATGGCCTGGACACCAGCAGACAAGCATGTGCTCTGATTCTGCATGTGACACCCCAGCCACACTCTGGTATCCACCAGCCTTGGTTACTACTAGCCAAGTGACCCCAACACACTCCCAGCCCCCAATTTTCCCAGAACCATGGCTTTGCAATGTCCAGCCCTCTCCCGGACCATTCGGAAGAATAGAATCATAGAATCATAGAATATCAGGGTTGGAAGGGACCTCAGGAGGTCATCTAGTCCACCCCCTGCTCAAAGCAGGACCAATCCCCAATTAAATCATCCCAGCCAGGGCTTTGTCAAGCCTGACCTTAAAAACTTCTAAGGAAGGAGATTCTACCACCTCCCTAGGTAATGCACTCCAGTGTTTCACCACCCTCCTACTGAAGAAGTTTTTCCTAATATCCAACCTAAACCTCCCTCACTGCAACTTGAGACCATTACTCCTTGTCCTGTCCTCTTCTACCACTGAGAATAGTCTAGAACCATCCTCTCTGGAACCACCTCTCAGGTAGTTGAAAGCAGCTATCAAATCCCCTCTCATTCTTCTCTTCTGCAGACTAAACAATCCCAGTTCCCTCAGCCTCTCCTCATAAGTCATGTGTTCCAGACCCCTAATCATTTTTGTTGCCCTTCACTGGACTCTCTCCAATTTATCCACATCTTTCTTGTAGTGTGGGGCCCAAAGCTGGACACAGTACTCCAGATGAGGCCTCACCAATGTCGAATAGAGGGGAACGATCACGTCCCTCGATCTGCTCGCTATGCCCCTACTTATACATCCCAAAATGCCATTGGCCTTCTTGGCAACAAGGGCACACTGCTGACTCATATCCAGCTTCTCGTCCACTGTCACCCCTAGGTCCTTTTCCGCAGAACTGCTGCCTAGCCATTCGGTCCCTAGTCTGTAGCTGTGCATTGGGTTCTTCCGTCCTAAGTGCAGGACCCTGCACTTATCCTTATTGAACCTCATCAGATTTCTTTTGGCCCAATCCTCCAATTTGTCTAGGTCCCTCTGTATCCTATCCCTCCCCTCCAGCATATCAACCACTCCTCCCAGTTTAGTATCATCCGCAAATTTGCTGAGAGTGCAATCCATACCATCCTCCAGATCATTTATGAAGATATTGAACAAAACCGGCCCCAGGACCGACCCCTGGGGACTCCACTTGACACCGGCTGCCAACTAGACATGGAACCATTGATCACTACCCGTTGAGCCCGACAAGCTAGCCAACTTTCTACCCACCTTATAGTGCATTCATCCAGCCCGTACTTCTTTAACTTGCTGACAAGAATACTGTGGGATGCTGACAAGAATACTGTGGGAATAATAAGATGTGTTTGTGCCTTTAAAGCAGCCTGCCACATTCACTGAAGTTAACAATCCCTTCAATTCAAACACAGCGCTCGGTTGCTTTAGATTAAAAGTAAAACAAGTTTACTAACAAAAGCAGATCGGATTTTAAAGTATAAGTGATAAAGTTAGTGGTTACAAGCAAACAGAAGTGAAAAAATGCTTACTAGTGACTAAGTCATAACAAAACTATAGTCCTGGTTCAAAGTCAAATTCCTACAACACGTCTTCCCATCAAGATGGCTGACCACCCGCATGGTCAGGATCTCCCACAAAGCTCAATTCCTTTGACTCCTTAAGTGAAAGATAAGGCGGGGTTCCTTGACGCTTTCTTTTATAGTCTAGTGAACCTTTGAAATGGATTCCTCTTAAGGTTACTCTGCAAATAGAGGTAATTCAAGCTGTGAGGAAGGAACCATGGAGTCTGGTGGTGAAGGAAGTTCCATGCTGGTTTCTTCCCCCACTGGCATTTGCCATAACACAAATTGATTTGTTCTTGCCCCCTCTGATGAAAACGAACCATGTGATTGCAATTCGGCTCTGATGATACCTGGCTGAAGGCGTCTGCTTCTCTTTTGTCTGAGAGAAACCTGTTTACCCACTTCCCAGACTTGTCTGGGAAACACATTTTAGTTCCGTGTTTCCATCACATTTGTACAGCCCCTTGGCCATTTACCAAACACACACCACCCAAGAATATTAATGATCAGTGTGTTATATATTTCCCAGTGATACCTTACATGACACACAACAGATATCGGTTACAACATTAGTGAGACGGGGTACACTGAACTGGTCAGGCCAGCTGAAGCTCACTACCAGATACCACTGAGCCACTTGCACTCTTGTGGCCGTAAGGGTCACACCATCCTAAACACAGAGGCGGGCACAATAGCTATAAGAAATAATACACCTATTTCCCAGTTCTCCACGCTGAGCACCCATCTAGGAAAGTGACTACTCAGAGCAACACGAATCAGTCTACTCACAGGATTGCGGGCTGGGAAGTTGCTGCTTTATTTAACTACATCCCAACGGGGGTGGGATGGAGGAAGAAAAGCTCCCACAGATTGCACTGTGGGAGGAGGTGGACCATGGTTCCAATCCACAATACTTTGAATAATCCACTTAACCCTATCATGACCACTTCACTGCAACTGAGCACTCCAGCTGAAACAGATGTGAGCTGCAGGAGTCCAGCACCTCTGCAAACCAGCCCCTAAATGAAACATCCCAGTGTGATCTGGGCTGGGAACGCCCTCTGGCACAGCGCTGGGGTCCCAGCTCAGCCCATTACCAAGGGAAGGGTCAACTGGGAAATTCAGATCCAGACCCAAGCTTGGATTTCAACAGGATTCTGGGTTCTAGGTGACGTAACCCCAAGGTCGCCAACCCTCCATCCATGTGGAACTCCCCCGGATGTTTGTGGTTAGCTGGGGGCAGGGTTTGTGCAGAAGGCTAGTTAATGTCCGCTCAGCGCTCTGCAGATGTCAATGCCACATCAGTGTTCAGCATCCCACCCTGGGTCCCTGCTGCCAGGACACTCCTCCTCTGACCCAGCTGGGCTTTGATCTTTTTCCATCAATGACCTGGGACGCTTCACCCCCTTCTCTGTGGGGATTAAAGATGAGCCCTCAACTGCATAATTAAAAAGGCTTCCTTGAGAGGCTCCAAACCAAGCATTAAACAATTACATATGATCTAATTATAGCATTACAAAGTAAATGGAGTCTCATTAGCACCTTTTTGGCTGGCAATATTTATTTCCAGCCATGCAGAGAGAACAGATTCCTGACTCGATTCTCCGCTTTCCCACCTGTTTTAATTTGAAAAAATGTTTCAGATTTTAATTGCCAGAAACCAAAACAATTTCAGTTTCTATTTTTTTCAATGAAAACCCCAACATTTTCAGCAATAATGGAAATTTTTTCACAAAAATTGCTGTTTTGACCAAAAAAGAAGCAACTTTCCCCCTGCAGCTGGGAAGTATTATAATCCCTATGTTACAAATGGAAAACTGAGGCACAGGGACATGCCTATCATCAAACAGGAAATCTGTGACAAAGGTAGATTTTCAACCCGAGCTCTTCTGACGGTGCTTTAACTGCAAGATCATCCTTCCACCTCTTGGCAGCTTCATGTGGTATTTTCTGTAACCTCTGCTTATCACGGCATTTATGGTCCAATATAGTTACAACCATGATAGGGAGAAAATGTTTGTATTGGGGAGGGACATAAAAACTGGAGATGGGACTGGACTACACTGTTCACACCTGGATTTCCCCAAATATCCAGGGTGTTCAGATCTGAGAGCTTTGGTTTGGCCCATGATAGAGCTCAGAGCCAATTCCCAGCTCTGCCAGGGACTCCATGTGTGAACTTGGGGAAGTCACTTCATCCCTCCATACCTCCATTCCCCACCTGT